AGGAAGTTTCCTTATGTCTACATTCAATGTATTGTGTATTTCTTCCCCCTTCCCCTGCCTATATATAATCAGGCCTTATGGCCATTGTAACACATCTTTGAATATTGAAAACCATTTACTCTTTGAGTATTATTAAAATAGTGTGATGCTATTTTAGCCAAATTCCTAATTCTATATCTTAAGAGTGGTTATCTTAAGTGTGAGTTTTAGGTTCTAGATATTTGATTAAGTGTGTTATATCTTAATTAAATTCTAGATTCAAACCCCAAGTTAGGAAAAGAGTGTGTAATATCTCTTAAACACCAACTTGGTTTATCCATCCCTGATTTTTCTTCCATTTCTTATCTCCCCATTTCTCCTTCTTAATCCTATTCTTTTCTTCCATAAAATACCAAAAAGAACTCCTAAAACACCCTCCGTATTTTCACCCACTATTTCCCTTCCATTTTCCCCCGCAAATCCGCCACTAAATTATCAACTTGATAAGACCCCCGTTTCACCCCTAACATTTGGTATCAGAGCTCAGCCTCGAGGCTTTCTTAAGTCTCGACGATATCACCTTGAGGACCGGCTTTGCAAACGTTGCCCAAAGGTTGCTGCTTTTTTTTCAGAGACTTTCAGTTCCATAGCATTGAGCACAGAGGAAGCTGCACGACGTATTTGAAGGTGAAATTTTCCAGTGCAGTAATTTAACCTTTTGTCTACGTCTAGCCGCTGATTTCACTCAATTCTGAGTTACGGTTTGAGAGATACGCCCTCCCGAAGTTGATAACACAGTCCTGGCCGGATTCCGTCTACCTTGCTGAGTTTGTCCCCAAAGAGGTAGAAAACATTTTTCAATGGCTTTGAATTTCTGATATGTCATTAAGGACTTCAATATCCAATACTGGGAGTTGGAATCACCGGATTCCAATTTTCGATTAGTGAGATATGGTCTCTAAAAGACATCTTAGAAATCTGGAAACTATCCTTGCAAATGGAGCAATATTACAATGGGCTTCCCGACGGTGTTTCATGTGTGGTGGCTATGGTCATAACAATTTGGAGTGCTCGAATAAGCATGCCATCCCATATGAAGAGTGAACTTGCCAGTGGCCTCATTTCTGATGTGCCAATCACCATGCAAGTCAGATCCAAAAGATGAATTACTCTGTTCCAAAATATTATGAGTCGAGTAGCCTTCCCACGGTCATAATAGACAAAATTCATGGTTTTTATGAAGACCAATTGTAGATCCTATGTCAATGATGGCATGCACATGTTTATTTTAAAAAATAGATAATTGGACAGAATAAATTAAGAGGGCTAAACTGAAAGTACAAGTAAAAGTTAGGAACCCAATTGCAAGGATTAATGGATGGGGATCAAATTGGGAATGTTGCAAAAGAATAGGGATCAACAACATCAGAGCTAATTAAGTGAAAATGTTGGACAAGCACCGACTTTACAACCGCATGTTGAACAGGAAAAAAATACACAATTGCATGTTGAACTTTTTTATATATTTGGCAAAATAGGTTGATACTACTCGAACATGCCAAACCTCATAACCGATCATATTTAGCATCACCTAAAGGTTACGTGGAGTCCACGACTCCACGTAGCATATCGAACATAACTGAGCACACCTTTCTTCCCATCTCTCTACCACATCACCCTGCATATTACCACATCCCCTTTCACTTTCCCCTTTTGCTTCTCTTACCCCTCCCCCACTAACAACACCAATACCTTTCTCATCAACCA